GACCGTTTAGGAAACGTGTTGAGCATCTGATTTGCCTTTTTTCACCCTGAGAGCCAACAAGCAACGTTAGAGGACACGGAATGAGAAGGCCATCCCAGGCCTGGTGAAGACTGTTATAGAAACTTGTAATAAGCAGCTGCACTTAGGACATTTATTTTCTTCTTTGGTGCTCTTTTCGTGGTGGAAATGCCCCCGTGAAGGTCACAGGCTTTGAAAATCCCAGGGCCTGATAGGAGCTGTTAGTGATCAGTAACCGCATGGCACTGTCTGAAGTACTGGGCTCCGTGATCTCGGTAGACACGTCCATTGGATGGGGTGTCCCCCCCAAATGTATGCACTCGCTTTGAATGATAAAGGCAGTGTTGATTAGAATAATTTCATTTTCAGAATTGAGCCATCAGCTGTTAAAGTGACTATACATTTTGGGGGGACACCCTGCATTTTTCCACTTTTAAAGGTAATGATATAAAAGGGTACCTCATTTTAATTTGCATTTCTTCAATTACAAAGGAAATTGTAAGTCTCTGCATATTTAAATCCTGGCGTCTCATCACGTCCTTCACACCTTCGTCTGGTGTAACCGTGGGTGTTACTGTTCACGTGTGAACTCTTCATTTAGGGTAGATCATGTCCCCATTAGATTCAGATGTTTCCCCAGACTTTTTTCTTAGGTACTGTGTTTCACTGTTTTCAGATTTACATTTTCGTATAATCCAATGTGTTGCTCTTAGCAATTTCTGAGTTTAAAATGTTCCTTTCTCTTTGATGACCTAAAAACATTCTATTCTTGTTGAAAAAACAAGTTTGTCATTTTACCCCAGCTACCTAGACTGCAATCTTTTTATTTTTTCCAGATTTCTATCCAACTTTCCCAAAACTATTCAACTCCAAGCATATATTTTACTTGAAACTAATATAATAGGCTAGTAACTGTCATTAACAAATAAAAATGAAACATATGGAAACCCTGCTGTGTGCTGTGTTGCATTATAGACACATCTTATAGGTCACATGTCTGCATCTGGTCAGTGAACAGTCAGAATATCAGTGACCAGTCTGGTTCCAGCAGCAGCTTCGTGACTCGGGCCCCAGTTTCCACATCTGCCTGGTGGGTGCTGTGAGGATGAAACAGCCGCCCGTGGGTGCCCCGTCCTGGGCGGGGCCCAGCGGATGCTCACTTCCCTGGGCTCTGCAGGGGTGCCCCTGGGCCTCCGCGGCATCACGGAGGATGGCTCGGCTGTCTGTGTCCCCCCCCCAGGACACATGCTCTCTCTGCACACAGTAGGTGGTCAGTGAGTGGTAGGGTATCCCACAGTTCACTGCGCCTGGGGTCCCCGGGGGTGGGGCTGGTGAACTGAAGGACAGACAGAAGGAAGCCAATTCAGTTTCGGCTGGTTGACAGCGACCGGGGCTGAGTGTGAGGCAGACCTGGCAAAGCCACCTCTCCCTGTGTCCACTCTCTCCCCCTCAGGAGAGCGGGCCTGGGGGTGGGGAGTCCCTGCGACAGAGTGGCCACCATGATGGGGTTTCCCGCAGAGCACACGCCCTGAGCCTCGTGTGTGTGTGTGTGTGTGTGAGGCTTGGTGGGCACATTGGGGGGGGAGGGGAGGGCCCCACCCTGGGTGCCCGAGGCCTTTCAGGATGTTTCAGATGCTCACTTATTTCAGAAACTGTCAGCTACCAAACACGAGGCGGCTGGGAAGGACCGCGTCTCAGTCGTGAGCACGGAGCTGCAGCCCTGGGGATGACTCAGTGTGAGAGTCTGTGGTCTTGGGGCCTAATCGACCCCAACTCCCTTGTGGCCCTTGAGGGGCAGGACAGGGGCAGGGAGAAGGGAAGACAGGCCTTCCAGGAAAGTGGGGCTCCCACCTTTCCTCCATGCCCCCAGCTCCAAGGACCTTGGAGGTAAAAACAAGCCCTGAGAGAGAGGCTTCAGGGATGCGCAGCGGGGAAGTCCCTCGATATAAAAATGGCCCTCAGCCAGGACTCCCCGGGACTCTCCGGTGGACAGACAGACAGACACACTTCTCGTTACTCACAGCAGGTTAAGACCCAGGAGAACCACATGCTGAGTTAGTTCCCCTGAGTTCAGACAGTGTTGCAGAAAGACCACACTCGACTCAGGACGCGGGTGGCGGGTGCCATGCTTTATTCGGGACGGCGAGCCGGGCGGCGCTCACGGCACAGGTCTCCGCGCACCTCTGGGCGGGGCTGAGGGCCGGGCAAGCCCGCCGCACACGGCCCGGCAGCGCCCAGGACACCGCCAGGCAGGGGCTGGATGTGGCTTTAGACAGCCGGGCGGACGCTGTCGTCCCCGAGCCCCGAAAGCCTCCCAAAGCCGCGGCAACGGCGGGACCTGGCGCCGTGTGGCAGCCACGGGGGGCGTGGGGCCTGCCCGTGCGTCGGGNNCCTGCCCGTGCGTCGGGGCCGCTCCCTCTGCCCACCTGCGTCCGGCGTTGAAAGCGTAACGTCCCAGTGGCCCGGGGAAGGCTGCTCGGGTGAGGGGCGTTGGGTTTAGGGCAGTTTAGCACGTGAGACGCCCATAAACGGTCCTTCTGACTGTTTACCACATTTTGATAAGATTTATTTACTCTTTGAAACCAGCCTTGGTCTAAACACCACCTGACGCCTGCCCCCCCCCCCC